TCATGCGATTCTACAAGCTGCATCTGACTACGTCAGATGAGCTAAAAAAAAACCTGGCTACACCACTGTTTTTGGGTGTTTTCTGACCATATTATTATGTGATTGAAAATAGGAGATTTGGGGATATTTTTTTGGGACAACCAGAAATTGTTGCGGACAACCTGATTTGATGCCTGGGTTTTTTTCATGATACCTACATTTTTTTTCTTATTTCGAGCACTGATATATATATAATCAAGAGCGTAATAAGAAGCATTCTTAATATGCTCTTGATATAATATTAAATATATATACTGTGACCAGATATAAGTTGACATTTTATTTGCTACAGAAGATGAATGCAGTTGATGTGGAGAGATTTTGTCAGGCCCAGAAGGAAGATTTGTTAGAGCTTCGGAAGCGAATAACTCCAGATGTTACTACTACATGTTCTACAAACTCATCATCAACATCAAGACTAGATTTACTGCCAAATGATATTAGAAAGCTGTAAGTGCTGCATGGACAATTGTAGAATGGATAAGTTTTTATTTATTTATGCTAATATAGCACATATATCTAAAAATAGTACATGACTATTTTTTGTGCTTATAATATAGATTACGTCCGATTAGGATTTGGCAAAAACTTAACATTTCTCTCTCTACATTCACTAGCGACACTAGATTGTAATGCTGTGCCCACTGATCTTTAATTTAGTATAGAACATGATGTTAACTTATATGCATTGTCCTTTAAATCTGGTCTGATTGGGCTGCATGTGTAATTTTATACTTGGGTTTTATACTAATGAGATGCCAATTGGTTAATGTGAATTTATCATGTTTTTGTTTCAGGTATAACGAGGTACTGCCTCATGTTAGAGCAGTCCATCTATTAAACTTGGAGCTCAAGCAAGTTAATGCCAGACTCCTCAAACAAAACAGGATGATTAAATTTGATAAAATTCATGATTCTTTGTACAATGGTATGCGTCAAGTAGTAGTTAAATAATTTTTTCAAGTAATCTATTAACTTTTCATGTACTGTATATATATGCTGTATATTTCGCGGTGGTTTAATTTTCGCGAATTTCGCGAACGCGTCCCCGACCGGGAAAATAACAACACGCGAATAGTTCATACCGAATAATACCAAATAATTCATAATTCACCAACCGCGAAATTAACCACTCACGAAATTGTCCGTGACGTCTGAATTCGCGAAAATATCTGTACGCGAAAAATATGGCGTGTGCAGTATGTTATTAATGATTAAGGTGTATAGGTAATTTCTTGCCTATGAATCTTTTGTTGTTGACAGCTTTCGAGCCATATGTAGATGATGCTTCAACTCCGAAGCCCTTTGTTGCTTGGCAACAAGAGATGGAGCAGTACATCAGACAGCAAGAAAAGAAAACTGATGCAAAAAGCATTATCAGTAAGTAGGATTTCTGTAAGGTTCACTCATAAAATTGTAGCATGACAATGTATACCATATGCCTCCACTCGGCCATAATATACACATAGATAACAGGAAATTGTATAAATTGTTCAAATTGCTCTTAATTGTATTAATTTGGCTTAATGTCTTAATTAAAATTGTCTTAATAAGAATCATCGATGTTAATTATTTACCTAGATTGCTTTGTCGAACCTCTACTCTTCACGATGGCGAACCTGTGCAGATCCAAGAAACAACTTAGCTTCTCAACGTGCTACCACAGGGTCACAGTCCATGTCACAATCACTGAGGTCATTACTGATGAAAATAGGTAGGTGCACGAAGTAAGAACCATTCCTTATGAGGGTACCTTAATGTTGTTGCCAAATCTGCTGCTATGATGGACCGGCTTACTAAAACCCATGGATCACATTTGATCCCGAAACATTGTTCGTGTAGTTTGATGTAAGCTAACTTGAGATTTAAGGAATGTGATGAGGATTCATGTTGGCCTGGTGGTATGTGAGGTGTGCAAATATCTGTGTCTTAAGTGTATATTCACTAAAATCCTATGCTCGCACTGTTAGCTGGTCAGAGAGAGCTTTCCAAATTTCACTAGCACAGTTTGTGTCCTTTCATCCAGAATAGTTGTGGATGTTCAGGATCGACCTCGGTGATCAATGTAGCTGTCCCGGGGTTATACCCATAAATTGCTTGAGAAACATACAGACTTTGTTCGAATCAGTTTATTACATAGTTTCCGTCATATCCGTCATCGTACAATGCCGTGAAACTCCTGGGTCTCTGAGTAACTTGGGAATATCTCTAAGTCCAATAAATGAGGACAATATCTCAATTTGCTTTTCCCGCGTTGCCGTAGCAAACAAAAGAGGAAGTAGATCCTATCCGGTTGGCGGAGGGATACACATGAATTCCGGACTATACACAAACGTTTACTTATATACTGTTATTATAAACAAAAGTGTTAACCACACATCGTATATCTACTAAGTAAAAAGGGCATAAAGATAATACACAATTTCAATTATGCAGTCAACAGTCAAAGGAACTGCTTGTTGCGTAACAACATCCTGCAAAATGCAAGCAGGCCACGCATTAACACACCACGTTTACTGCACACGCTCTAACGCAGTCGCAATCAATGTCAGTGTTTCCCCTGCATTGACACGAGCGAGGCGGGGCGCCTCGCTCAAATTCTCAGCCGCCGAACGAAAACACCGCCTCGCTGACGAAAATCACTGTTCTTCCATAGAACAGTGCTTATAATGCACCAAAATAACGTAGAATGCACCAAATTGCACCATTTTTTCAAAAATTTAACCCCCCTAGCTGAACAAGCACCTGCAGTGTTTGTTTTGCTAGGACCTCGAAACGCGCAAACAGTTTAACACACACACAAAATTTACCACCTCACAGACCTTTATGGCCAGGGGATACACTGAATGTTCAGTGAATCAAAAAGATTTAAATTATTTATTGGACATGGTCAAACAGAGTGGCTGAAGAGCTTTTGTTTCAGCAGTTTTCATGACTTTATTGTTAGGAGTCTGAAATGTACATACTTTGCACTAACTATGCGGCTACTCTATAATCGTTTCAACATTAAAGGAAAGATAAAACATGGACTTTTTGTTTAGGATTTCATATAAATTAAATAACATGGATTTTACATCTGGCATATTAGTTTGTATAGGACAAATACCATAATATCCATACCAGGAAGCAGTCTAACAAACTCAAACTAAGACTTCTGTTCTGTTTTCAGTACTCTATTGAATAAAAGCATGAAATAACTATTTGGATTTTAAAATCAGAGTAGAAGCCATCCTGAACTCAGTCAAGCCGTATATATTGTATTAAGTATATAGTTAAAGGAGCTTGGAATGCACTTTGTCTGTCGTCTGTAATGAAATAAGTGTCTGAGTTATGACTCTGAAAAAGAGTTGTATACGTTGTGATTGCTTAGTTTTAGTGGGGAATGGCTGCAAATGGGAATAGCCTCTTACATCAAAACCACTCGACATCATCATCAAAACCAGAAATATCCAAGAACATAAACTAAAATATCTATTTACTTTCGCTAGGTTGCAGTGGGATACTCATTTTACCAGAGATATGAGACATTAATGCATTAGGTGTATATTGCCATCTCTGTGGGTTACTTCAAATTAAATAAAAATTTGTCTTCTGGTTTGAACCCTGCCAGCAAATGGAAAAATTTGATTTCGACCGATTAACTGTTTTATTGTTGAACCTACTACCGACAATTTACAGATAACTGCATATTAAATGTAAAGTTTTTAAAGCATGTATAATTATAAGGAATTATAAGAGAATGTTTTATGCTTTTAATTCAGAACGATTCTGTCGCACAGTATAAGCAGTGGCATCACCAGCATAAAATAGGCTGTAGTAGCCAGCATCAACAATAGCAGTATACAGTACGTGTCATCAGCAGTAGCAGTAGCTGTAGCAATATCAGAATGAACATATATCTATACAATGTATATGTCCATGGTAGGGATAGCAGTAATGATTGTGAATGGTATGGGTAGTGTTAAGCTGGGTTTACACTACCAACTTTATGTTGGCGAATTGGCGAGTTGGACCAACTTTCCAATTCGTTAACTCCGAGTTGGCGAAAATAGAACATGTTCTAATCTCCCAACTAGTTGCTATCGATCGGTTGGTCGCACAACTATTGCATTTGCACTATACCGATTGTCGGTTGTATAGTTGGGAAGTTGGTCCAATCTGCCAATTCGCCAATACAAAGTCGGTAGTGTAAACCCAGCTTTTGTCCTAGTCGTAGTGCAGTGAGAGCAGCAACAGGAGCCTCAGCAGCAGCAACAACAACAGAAGCAGGATAAAAAGCAGTAGCAGCACGGGAAAAGGCAGCAACAACACCAGTAGTAATGGAACACACTATAGTAATATTACCAACAGCAGCAGCAACCCTGAGCTGAGCACTGCTCTATACATGCATGTCAGACTGAATCATAGGTAGTGGCAATGCTATTGTAATTTGTTGGTGTTACAACAGTTCCTGTTATTCACAGAGTGACTTATTGTTTCACGTCGGACGTTCATATTGAGGAATTGGAAACCAAGGGGGCACTCTACATCGAACAGAAACGGACTGCAGCTGAGTTTGTGAGAGATATTATATGGAGTTACCTAAGACAAGAAATCCTTCCATATACACTAACATGATCAGGAATGTTTAAATTCCACTTTATCTGCCACTCATGTGTTAACATGCAAGTAATAATTAAGTTGCATTATGTGATGATAGATATTTATGAGAGCATATTTATTATACTATTATCTGGCTTAAACAAAAGCAAGTTTGTGCGTTTTAATTGAATCTGTTATGTTTACGTAATATCCACTGACCTTAAACTCGGATGAAATTTGTATTATCAAGATCACGTAAGCTAGTTTATATACTCTTGATATTATGTAAACATTCATGGTAACACGATAAAAGAATAAAACAATGAACGATAAAACCATGATATCAGTATTGCAGTGCCATTGAAGTATGTGTGTGCTGCTCTTTTGTAGAAAACTTTGAGATAATCGATTCTTGAATATGTCGATCTACACTAACACCACCAGAGAATATATGTATACAGAGGAGTGTATGAGTTCAATTTCAACTATATATTATCTGATTTAGTGTCTCAAAATCTGCACTTATATAACAACACTTTACAAATATTGAATGACTACTTCTGTGGATAACAAAAATGCCCAATGAAAGATATATAATCGACCGCTTGGTCGTTTTGATGACCAGCTGAGCCAGAGATTTGTGTTGTTACTGGTAGAAAGCCCGTAAATGATCACCGACCCGTCACAGTCACTGACTGTCACGGATTAGTGCGTCTTTCCTGTGAGTAAAGCTACAGCCCCCCCGGGGCATGTGCCACAAGTAGCAAGCAGCATACCGGAACGTTACGAGCTTGAATGCGTACAACTGGATTTACAGCCAGGCCCATGCATGTGTGCAATCACAGGTGAGTGGACGGACAGGCAGACACGTACGTAGTTTCCTGGTGGGTGACTCATGTTGTATTAGTGTAATGCTTGAGTGTCAGCGTTTAATAGCGTCCATGGATACAAGTTGTTTCTATCCGTAGGAGGCTGGCATTTTGGTATATGTTCAGGTATTACAATTAATTTTTTGTAATTTGGTAATTAGCACCAGGTGCGTATATATATCGTGTGTGCCTCAGTTTAAATTCTTAACAAAATTGTTGGTGCTTTGTTTAAAATCACTAACGAATGTCGACCACCTCGTTGTGAAACTGGTAGAGTTGTGGCAAATAACAGGTGAATGTAGAACCTGTTCCTTCGTGAGCTATATGTTAGTTCCCTTGACAGTATTTGCGCTGAAAGCATTTTTATTATTACCGGCTAGTAAGCCATTACTACAATTACGTGCGTACTGGTTTCTGTCTAATACTTACCCATATCTCCACAACACACCCGGACATCCAAATTATGCATACAGTAAAACGCATATGCACGTGTTACTCAAACCTCTACCCAACTGTCAACACGAGGAAATGCCGTTTCTATATTACAAGGCATGCTTCCTGTGTTTAATTTTGGGCGTGATGGTGTGATGGTGCACTTCCCTCTAGTCGATCGTTGTCTCAGTGCAGTGTTGGGTCATCGGGGATAGCTCATGATAAAGGTGTGTTCTCTTCCTTCAGTCTTGTCGTGCGGGCAGGATCAGCAACAGTCGCATTATCTGTTTATAGTTCATGCAGAGGTTTCTGCACAGTGGTTTGATACGTTAGTGATAATCTGAACTTGCATGTGAACTGGCACTTGTAATTATTATTCAATCTTTCGGATGTGAGTGGTTCATGCGCGACCACCAGGATTTCGAAGTGCATTGCTCAGCAGAAATTAACCCACCTGTGCCGGCCAGGGCAGCTGCAGAACGCTGTAAATAAAATGATGAGAAAGTACGTTGCTTACGCACTCAGAAGCGAGACTTTCAGTTAGTAGTTGTGCTATTCAGGCGAATTTCATTCCTGTGGGCCTGCTTACCGGACGATCTACTTATGGTGACGCTAACACACCTAAGTTTAACTAAATGCGTGCGTGTATTTGCTCTTCTCAATGGACAAGCTACTGTATATAGTAATATGTGCATGACGCATGTGCTGAACTAGATATCACGTAGTACATAGTCCATGCACTCTAGGAAGGATATCAGTATCGTGTCAAACAATGGAAATACCGGTAACCAGAAACTACTAATCACGTCAGATATATAGGCCTACAGATTCTGGTTGGTTTAAAAATGTCAATTAGTTGTGTACTGTAATATGGACTAACTAGCATCTATTGCCATAACCCAGGTATTCTATATTGAGCTTTGCTAATTGCCGTAGCTCACAGTCCAGTGATATGTGTCAGGTGAAAAGTCATGTAGGAAGCCTGTATGAAACTGAGTGAGATGATCACTAGCGTTTTTAGGGAATTTAATTGGTAATTTGCCTGTACTTGCCGTAACTCTAAATTATTTATATTTATTCCAGGTGCTTTCATGTGAAAAGGCATTAGTATAAATAAACATGTATGCGATGCTGCATGATATATAGATATTAGATTATATTTTGAGTGTTGTTTCACTTGTATTTATGTGTGAAATGTGTGCTAGCAATTTATTGTGAACATGGTTGGGAATTTATTTGTGAAGGTTCTTAGTTCTGTGTCTCTTGTTTGAGTAAGTCTGTCAGTGTCTTTGCATCTATTTGTATATTATTGCGAGTATGTATGTGTGCGTGTGTGGGTGGACGTCGCATATGTGCGTGCACGTGCGTATGTACCTTTATATATATATATATATATATGTGGTAATTTCTTATTTACTTATATTTTGTGTTGCAGCACAAATCGTGGCATTCGCGCGATTCTTGCAGACTAGCGAGGAAGTAAACCACTTCCCGTGTGTGATTTCCTCTAAGTGTGTGTCAAGTAAAGCGTCCTGACTTCGTGAATCGCTGTAGTGGAAACGAATGGTGGCTAACATTGACTGGATGGATTAGTCTGGCTTGTCTTTTTGTAAGACCAGCTGCTTGATATCATCTCAGATATGGACGTTATGGACGACAGGAGACAACAAGGTAAAGATTGTCGTATGCCATTGCAGAGGTGGATCAGTCAGTGTCGAGTTACATATGATATAGGAATGATATCCTTTCCTGCTACGCTGCAGTTTTTACCTTTGCATAGTTCATTATAGAATTCACATTAACCACGCATTTCAACCAGAATATGTTAAAATGTCCTGAATGCTTCAAGATTTGTATTTGCCATGATCAATCATTTTCAATGGTGTTATATCCTACCCAGTTTTCTTTTTGGATATGCTCATCTGCAGTATGAAGAGTACTTCTTACAGCTACAATTAGTTACACATATAATAGCTTCATGGTGGTGTTTGTCTCGTTAAAGGGGCAAGACCAGAGGATGGTGTCCCAGACATGACTGTCATCAGTGACATAGATGAGATAGCAATCAACACCAACCTGAAAGTCAGATATCAGAACGACAAGATATATGTATCCATTTTTTTCATTTTAGCACCGTTTCTTTTCCATTGCTTAATTGTCAGTGTTACTTAAAGTGTTGTGTACGTGTGTGTATTTACACGTATCACACATGTACTACCGCACATATAGATTGTATACGTTTTACAGTATATAGTTATCACACATATTGGCCTGAACTAATTTCAATTTCAAGACTAGGAAACTGCCAGTTTGACACACATTTTTGCTCAATGGCATGTTACTAGAGTAAGACTGCAGCTGATCACCCCCAAAATATCGTACTAATTTTTCAGCATAAAAAAAGATAAACTGCTACTATAGAAAGTTTGCTGACAGATGCAATCTATCTCTTAAACATTCTTTCCGTGTGGAAGGCATCATGATTGTCAGTTAATAGGGAGTTTAGATAGACTTATGAAGTTTGTTGATATATGTTATGTAAACGTTATGTAGTTCATTGAAGACGTATCTGAGATAAGACTTTCAGTTCACACAGTATGGAACACTCCCAACTTACATTAAATATGTTCTGATTAAGATGCAGCCACTTGGAAGAATCGATTTTTAATGTATACTTGTTACTGTTTATGAATGTCAGCATAACTATAGGTAATCAACATATAGTTAATTGTTTACTCCTTAATCACTGTGCTTCAGACATACACAGGTACTGTGCTGGTGGCTGTCAACCCGTACAAGGACATTGGCATATATGAACCGGTATGTTTATCGTAAGGAACAAATATTTGGATGACATGTTGTGGAATATAACTCTCTTGCGCCACTGTTACCAGTGACTTTCACTTGAAATGTTTTCATAGTGAAATCAGGAACAATTTGGTAGAGAACCAGCTTTTTAGGATGATGATTATGCCCGCTTGGGTCAGCTATTGGTCCGTTTTCTTCATACTAATATAGATTACCATGTGTTGTGAGGCATTTTCTGTCTGCCAAACAAATTAAAATTATTCGCGAAATTTGTTTCAATTGGAAATAATATATGCATGAATTCATAAGAATTGTATATAGATGTTTCCTCGAGTGATAGAACACGGTGGGCGACAGTGGCATCATTAGCATATGGGTTCTCTTGTTGTGTATAGGATGTGGTGGAGAGCTACATTGGATACAAGCTTGGAGAACTGGAGCCACACATATTTGCTGTCACTGAGACAGCATACCAGGATATGTGCCGGTCTGCCCGTAGCCAGTCCTTCATTATCAGTGGCGAGAGCGGAGCGGGAAAGGTGATACTCTTTGTTATACTGTTGTACCTCAGTGAGCAAGATCTGTTTCTCTGTTAAATGAAACCTCCATTAAATGGTCATTATATTATTTGTAAGTATTGTATAATACAGTACAGAGAATAGTATACTACAAAGGCATTGTCTAACATTATCCTCACAGCTTATTAGCTTTTTACTTATCTTTATTAGAAGAAAGCTATAGTAGCGCTTAAATGTTTGGTTAAATTTTTTTTTGAATCTTGCCATGTTCCTTATTGCACAGTATTTATTCTCATTCGTTATATGAAGTAGTATGAAATGTCAGTAGGCTATATGAAACGAGTGCCACACTTGTTAAGTAATGAGTAGAAAAAATACTGACCGATACCCTGAAAATAGTGAGCAATTGACAATTTCCATTAATTGACAATGCAAAGAGTGAGTATATGCTGATGGTGCAGCTTGTGTACCTTTGTTTGCTGACTTGTTTTAGACCGAGACGACCAAGTTCATCCTGCAATATCTATGCTCAGTAACGGGTGTTGTGGCAAGCTGGACAGAGCAGCAGATTTTAGAGGCAAACACAATCCTGGAATCTTTCGGTATGAGTGGTCGTAGGATATGCGTGTTCTTCTTAATGTTATGCTATCTTTACTGAAATAGGAATGCAGTTGTTGCTCTGCAGGGTGTTTGGTCACCTGCCACTTACAGCTAAAGCACTGCAGCTACTGCAGCAAATACAAAAGAGATTAAAACACTGTTTAGTTAATAATGGACGTTACTTTTGTCTTCTTTATTTGTATTTCATGTATAGAATTACTTTAGCAATGGCTATTGCGCAGGTGTTGGTTACCTGACATTGAACTACACTGCACAACCAAAAGAAATGATAAAATTGTTTATTATGTTTAGACATGAACATGACTGGAGAGCGTTTTTTTGTTAGGCAATGCAAAGACGGTGCGCAACGACAACTCGAGTCGCTTTGGCAAGTTCATGCAGGTCTGCTTCGACTCAAAATTCCACATCAGCGGCTGCGTCGTGCAGGACTACCTCCTGGAACAGTCGCGCATCGCCTTCCAGTGTCCTGACGAGCGAAACTACCATGTGCTGTACCAGCTCGTCTCCGCAGCCGAAGCCAACCAAGAGTTGGCCGACCAGTTCATGCTCGGTAAGCGTGATCACTCTTGCGATGGTTTTGATATTTAAGTTGATTAATTGGAAGTGGCTCAGTAAATAAATAAATTTAATAATTACAGTACACGATCTATTATCCGAAATTCTGAAAACCGAAAAGCTCCGAAAACCGAAATTTCTTTCATGGAGGTTGTGTGCACACCAAAGCTCGCGTTTTGGCTGCACAATGTTCACTGCAGAAATATTAATGTGTTTGGCATAACTCATGCATGTTGTGCTGTACCGGTACAGCACTTGGCCTCTTGAGAACTTGGGTTATACGTTTTATAGTACTGGCTAATTGCAGGATATATGGTATGTATATCTGTACTGTACTACCATTCCGAAATCCGAAAAATTCCGATTTCCGAAACATGTCTGGTCCCAAGGGTTTCGGATAATAGATTGTGTACTGTATTTCTCTGCATACGTCTGGTGGCCGGTAGCATGCCTGTAGTAAAATGGCTAGTGATAATATACCAGCAGGATATGGCTTACCATTAGGCGTGCACATGTTCGCATGACTTTGTTCTGCACGAAAATGGGTATCTGTAGGTGAATGTAATGATACTTTAGAGAAAAATTCATGACTGGGATATCATGGGTCTTCAATCCTGAGCGAATTGCGCATGCGTGTGTTCAGTATTGATTGTAGCTGACGTTGTTATGGGCGTGGCTGGCAAAGTTTGATAACTACCAAAATATAATGTTTCCCAGTGCACACCGGGCAATATAAATGCTGCCTTCAGCAGTTAAAGCAGTTGTGTTCTGGATCCACACCACTCCAAAAATCGCTGGATCCATGAAACTGACTTACTTTGATCTAATATCAACCAATAAGCACACGTTTTCTTACAGAACGCTGTGCTGGTAGACTGGTTCTTATTTTTTCCCTGTATTATAAAGATGACCAAGAACCTGTCTATCCAGATTATGGTATTTAATGAAAGGTTGTGGGTAACACCCTGGACACCCCACCTTTTAATTTGACTTTCAGATTCGGCAATGCCCTACCGTTACCTCAATCAGAGTAGCAGTGACTCCAGCAGATATTCCTACTAAAATGCAGATTGTGTTACCACGCGCACGCGGTAGTGATGGTGCTGTAATCTGCGCATAATTTTGACGTCGCTTGCTCGTAGGTGCGGCGTCGTCGTACACCTACCTCAGTCAGAGCGGCTGCGCAGAGATCGCTGGCGTTGACGACGTACGCAGGTTCGACGAGTTGCGACTCGCGATGAGCGTCGTCAGGATACCGAACGAGATGAGCGACGGAATCTTCGGCGTTCTGTCGGCCATTTTGTGGCTGGGCAACCTCTGCTTTCAGGTGCGACCAGGCGCGTAGCTACCTATACGCAAAGTACGCAAATGCGTACTAAAATTTTCCAGAATAAAAAAAATACATGACCTTTTTACAAAAAAAAAAAATAATATAACGTTCAGTTGGGCTTACAGTATTATGCATATGATAAGAATAATGACTACAGTGTCATTACGCCAGATGGACGGAAGGATTTCAGTAAAAATAACAACTTTTGACAAATTTGAGTGCAATTTTGCGTACCATAAAAAAATGTCTGGGTACGCCCCTGGCGACCATATGCATTGTGTACATACACCTTGCGAAACATCTGTATTGATAACGCATACACGTATCCTGTCACCGCACAATGAGAGAGTTACAGTTGGGTTAATTTGAGCAGAGTTAAATAGACTTAGAATTAGAGTATGATGCTAGCAAACGAGACCAGCGTTTCTTAGGGTGGGCAATCAGGGCATGACGTATTATATGCATTTACTTCTGATACGTGTAGAACTAGGCCAGCCCTCTTTATAAAGTTAAAAAAAGTGAGGACTATAGGCATGTGTGTCAGTGGTCGGTGTAAAGTTAATAGATAGAGATATATAGAACTCTGGTTCAGCCCTGGCAACGGCAGTATAGCGAATTACAAGGGGTAGGAAAATGGAATGATAACTCTAGTAACACTAGAATGTAATGAATATCTGTACATAGCAAATATCGTGTTCATCTGGTAACACAATGTCCAATTTTTTTTTGCAGGAACTAGAGGATGATACAGAACGTTGCCGCCTTAGTGAGGAAGCTCTCAATGTGCTGCAGACGGTTGCCTATTTGCTAGGCCTAGAGATGGAGCCACTTGAGCATCTACTGCTGACCAGGCAGATCAACGTGCGAGGAAACATCACAGATATTCCGTTGAAGCTGAGTGAGGTAGGGCTTGATTTACTCAGCATATCAGGTTAAATGATATACCGTGGTGAATTTAAAGTTAATCTTTCATTTACTGCTTGTTTTTGTTGTACTGCCCGTGGCCAGATCATAGTGGTGAACGAATAAACTTTGTATGCTATGGTTTACAAGATACAATGTTTTAGATTTTGTGGGCCATTGCCACAGTGATGATTAGTCTTAAGAACAGTCCTATTTGTTTTTAAATGTCTAGTCCCAACTTGTTAGGAGTGATTGAGTCTATAAAAACCTCGTATCATTACCATATTATCATGTTACAAATGTAAAGTATTACCCTAACTCGGATCATTTCTACAGTAGCCCAGTGATGTTTTGAATGACTTGTCAACATATTATCAGTTGTTGACAATTTTCAACCTCTGTAACAAGTTTGTCAACACTTCAAAGTTACATTTGTTAACATGTCATCAGTTGAAATATTTGGATTAACTAATTATAATGCGTGTTTTAATACATTCTCGACGCAGGCGCGTGAGAATCGGCATGCGATGGCAAAGGCATTATACTCAAGGACGTTTGCATGGATCATCAACTCCATTAACACATGTATGACTCCCGGCTCCAGCAAAGACTACATCCTTGGCGTGCTTGACATCTTTGGCTTCGAAGATTTTGCCGTGCGTAAAATAGTTTAATTTATCAGTTACATGGCATGTGATTGTTATAAGTGGATGTTGGACTGCATAAGCACAAATTATAGTTAATTTATGAGTATAAAGGTTTGTGTTATTTTTATTCATGTGCTGTATAAATATTACTAAAAATAAGGCGTCTGGTAAGATTTGTGTAAAATTCAATAACAAACCTCTTCCAATTTGTCTATGCAGTCAGTGGACACTTATTTTGAATATTTTGCTATTAAAAATATGACATTTATTTTCAAGCTACTTTCTCGGTATCCAGTGTATACTCCAGTGACCCCATTTAACCTTGTTACATAGTTAATGCGGCAGTGTGTGGAATCTCCATTGACCTTGCAACCCAACCTAGTTAATCTGGTTTAAATTAATAATACGTGGTTAATCTACCAGACTAGTAATTGATGTTAAAATGATTGTTTTTAACAGCAAACCTTATGTTTCTAGATGAACAGCTTTGAGCAGCTTTGCATAAATTATGCAAATGAAAAACTGCAGCAATACTTCAACTACCATGTGTTTGCACTGGAACAGGAAACAGTAAGTGCCCATGCAGATCTTATTCATAGTGTTTTACACTGTTTCGATTAATGATATTCTTAGAAACATGTTACCATGATACAGATACTATGACAGTGGTATAGTAGCATCCCAATGATGTTAACACGTGCATGAATTTCTAATTCTATAATGCTAACAATAGTTTGTAGGTCCACCTGAAATATTTGAATCATATGCTTAGAGTTACCAATTTAGGATTATAAATACATAATGGCTGAAGCCCAGCCAATTCTGATTTGAAAATATTTGATTAAATTTTGATTCAAGAAATTTTAATAACATAGTTGAATTGCATTACTTTTAATAATTTCATTATTTATTACTTTATGTAATACCAAACGTTGTTGCTCTGTAGTATGCAGCTGAAGAAATTGAATTTTCACACATAAACTTCATAGACAACACTGCTTGTTTGGAGCTGATCGAAAAGGTAAGTCGGTTATAATATAAAAATTGATACTATACATATAAGTCAGAAAAAGATGATCTCATTCTGATGGCATAATCATGAGGTGTAATTAAAGGCAAAGATATAGTAAATAAACAGAAAATGTGAGCTGAAGATCCAGTTAGTTTCGGGATGAAGCCTTTTGAGAAAGCAAGAATGCACAAAAAGTCTATAGAAGATGTCGCCTTTATTTAATTGAATGATATAGGACTTTGATAGTGTACCCAATCACAGCGAATTGATTTAGCAGATATTGTTTACCTTAAAATGATTTACCATTTCTTGCCATATGTTCCTGTAATTTTACAGTCACCAACATGCATCCTAAAGATATTGGCTGAAGAATGCCGATTTCCCAAGGTAATGCCTAGAATTATATTTTTCAGATACTATTTAGCGTTAGCATTTACAATGAGCAAAAACATGTACATATAATCTGCAGGTGAAGCTAACATCCATAAATATCATTTTAGTTCCGCCATACACATATATAACGAAAAGGAAGTTTAATTTAATATAAATAGCACCACGCACATTCAAGAGTAACAGCTTACCATAGTAATTGGGATAATATTAGTAATAGTAAATAAAACGAATTTGCGTAACCATGTTGTTGCTAAACATCAGGTAATATATGTTTCCCTTCTGTTCCCATCTATAACAATATGTTACTTTTTATAGGGAACCGATGAAACGTACATCATTAAACAGCACCACGAATTCAATTCGCATGCCAACTATATCAAAGGGGAAGACCGACGGAGATGGGCGGATGAGTTTGGAGTGAGGCACTATGCGGGGGAAGTCACCTACAATGTCAAGGGCTTTTTAGAAAAGAATAAGGACGTGCAGCAAGCCAGTTTCTTCTACCTCATGGAAAAATCGAGCAATGGGTTTGTCAAGGAGCTGCCAGATTTTCAGGTAAAATATTTCTTTTCTGACTGTATACACTGATGCAAGTGAGCCTACTTGAGCCTCTTATCCACAGAAGACAATTATAGAATTCAGTTTCATGCACTCCAACCACTTTTAGTGATAGGTTTTGTTATATATAAGTAACATCTCCTTGGTATGTGTAACGTTTTGCTTGTACGTGCCATGTCTCGTCACACCATAATTGTCTGAATTATCCTATAGCTATAGTCAAACAACTCACTCAGTTTATACATAATAATGTGACATAAACTTGTAATTTAACTTCAATTATACCTCAAAACCATCAGAAATATGATGCTATGATAATCTCACATAAGGTGTGTAAACTGTCTTAAGATTTTTATTAGCTCACCTTGATATTGTCAAGGTGAGCTATTGCCACGTGGTGTCGTCCGTCGTACGTCCGTCCGTCCGTCCGTCTGTCCCTCAACATTTGGCTACGGTCAACGATAACTTGAGAACCATTTGACCCACATGTTTCAAATTCCATACAGTTGTTACTCGCTCATGGCGGAGAGATGTGAACGTCGGCTATTTTGGAGGAACGCGACAGTTGACCTACTTTCGAGCGCACGGCCCACTTTTGGCAAAGTGGAATGGCGCATCATAGATTCATATCGATTTTGTTAAATTACCCTACCTATACGCCTACTTACTTACTTACCGCTACCACCTACCTTACCTACCTACACCTACCTACCGTACCAAAAAACAGAAAAATAACAAAAAAAATTCCTACCTATCTTACCGTACCTTACCGCTACCTACCTACACCTACCCTACTACCTACCTAAGCGGCTACCTACGCTACGCTACCTACCTAGATCATACCTACGTGTAATATTGTGTTTTTAGATTTTTCGTTAACAGTAATTTGACTGGAATAATTTTATTGCTTTTATTTGCGGCGAATAATCGAAAAACAAAATGGCGATCATTTAGGCGGTAGCGGCCAGTCCTCTCGCAACGGATTTTGAGACTTTCCAGAATCTAAACATATTATTTCGCATACAAAACTAACCCTGAAACAAAACAGTGAAGGATTTCTATTAGTATCAAGACGGGGAGATAAGGTACATTTGATCACATTTTTGGTTCCGTCAGATAATGAAAAACACATTATACCAAACTTTAAATATCATCTCTTTCTTCGATCACACCCAATGTGAGCTATAGTGTCATTTGACACTTTCTTGTTGCGTGCAAAATCGCCCAATAGGCCTTAAAGAATGGAGATCAGTGGTTGATCACTTTATTTTGTTTTAGAATTTGATGGGGGGTGATGATGTCACACGCTCGGAACGCTGACCACAGGCGACAGACCTTTAGCAAGGAGTGGCCTGGGCGAAAGGAAAGCCTACAGCAGTGCCTTTTGATTAATGTTCAAACTTCAGCTGACTCGAATGGTAGAATCTCTGCAGAGCAGACAAAACTCCTTGGTGAAGGTCTGGAAGTATAGAAGCGCACCGTTGAACCAAGCATGACGTGTGAGAGAGATGTGAAAGTCAATAGGAGGGGCGCGCAGAAGAGATGACAGGAGTTAAAATTCGAGAACGAATGTTGTGTCAAGGCATTATTGACTGAATTGTAAATTTATGGGATGCCATATATATATAGGTCTATAGATTAGAATGAACTACAGAAGCCGCCACAATAAATCTGAAACATTCAGGCAGGTTGATGTTATAATCTAATAGTGTATGTCTAACAATTTAAGGCAAGATTTGAATTTGCTGTGTCAGTCATGGCAAGTGGCTCATTAATAGTACCGTATTTAGTATGTGCCTTAGGTATGTTCGATGCTGTGAAACCAAGATGAAAAGAGGTGGAACAACTATGGACGATGACGTTTGTGTTTGCGGGGCAGTTGCGATACTCACGGCAATGATGGACATTGTCGCGGCATAACGCCCAGACAGAAACAGGTAAAGCTGCTTAATTACGCTAAAATGTGTAACGCAAAAAGCAACACTAAACACCTCGTAAACCCAAAGTGTATTGAGACCTATAAGTCAATATCTTGGCCTTATAATTTATATATATAGTAATAAACAGTTTTTTTTATGAACAATTAAGTTCAAGTGCAGTAGCAACATAGTAAGAAGTAATAGTATGGCCAGCACTCAAGCAAGCACCAACACTGTTGGGTAGCCGTATATAAATGACAGATTAATTGACTATATCAGATCAAATACCGGACTTTGGATAATCAGAAGGTCTGATACTAGAGACTGTTTTACTTTGTCCGTGCTATGATAACATTGATATTGCGCTGCAGGCCTTTTCAAACGCACTTACACTGTTTCGTAAGCGATGAGTTCCCCTTGCGAAGCGTATCATATGCTTAATAAGTCCGAGCATGAAGTGGCCGTCGCCAAATCAACTTGATGATTCGTGATGCTGTCAGCTGCCATTTCCTGGAAAAAGCAACTCGCAAAAACAGAAT